CAATTGACAATTTTGATAATCTACACCCATTCCATCTGCTCTCTCAGATACCTAGCACTTCTATGTCAAAAATATCTTCTCATTTCCTTGTCTACACCCAAAGACTTCTCAGCCAGTCCCGTACATTGTACGGACATTCCATGTCTCCATTCTTATTCTTACTTTCACCGAGAGAGGACACATCGGCCGGCTGACTGGCTTCTTCGAAGGTGGGCTTTCACCAGCCCTTTCTATCATTTCACCTCTCCGATTCGAGAGAAGAATTAGATGGTTACTTGAAATTTTTGTATTTTTAATAAATTTTCTATGCATTGAAGTTTCTCGGGCAGTTCGAAAACGGTTGTAAAGCTTTAGCACAGTTTGGGATAAAACGCCGTTAAAAATTAACGAGACCAAAAATCGCCGTAATTTCTTAAAAGAATCTGGTAATGGGTAATCTTTGATAGCTTGTACGTCATCAGGGATTGGTTTGATTCCTTGACTGTTAATTAAATGACCGAGGAATTTCAGTGAGGTCTTACCAAATTCGCATTTGTCTAAGTTGATAGTCATGCCGTATTGGTGAAGTCTTTCAAACACAGTCTTCACATGTTTCAAATGCTCGGCTTCGTCTGCACTTGCAATTAGTAAGTCGCCGATGTATGCGTAGACGAAAGGGAGACCACGGAGTACTTGGTCGATTAGGGGTTGAAATATCTGAGCGGTGTTCATTAGTCCAAAGGGCATGCGTGCGAATTCGTATAAGCCGAATGGTGTGGTAATGGCGGTTTTCGGAACGTCATCCGGGTGGATGGGGATATGATGATACGCTCTAACAAGATCGATTTTGGAGAAAACTTTAACATCTGACAAGTTGCTAGCGAAATCGTGGATATGTGGTATTGGGTATCGATCAGGTACCGTTTGCTTGTTTAAAGCTCGATAATCACCACACGGCCGTATCTCACTAGAAGACTTTCTGGGTACCATGTGAAGCGGTGAAGACCAAGAGCTGTTGGATGGTCGAATAATACCAAGCTCTAGCATTTTATCGAACTCTGTTTTTGCGATTTTAAGTCGATGTGGGTCAAGGCGTCGAGTACGTGATAAAACTGGTGGTCCAGTTGTTTTAATGTGATGAACCACGTGATGCTTTAGTTCTGTTCCTCGGAAAGAAGGTTGAAAAAGTTCAGGAAACTGATTTACCAAGTAGATATATGGAAATACTGGTGTGCGTGTGACCATCAAGTTCAGTGATGATGCACGGCTAATCGTACCAGCGATGTACGTTTTATTAAGCGAAATTATTAGCTTAGGACTTATCGGATCAACAAGCAGTTTGTGTTGCTGTTGAAAATCGATACCGAGGATTGGGGATGGAACATCTGCAATGATGAACGACCAAGTGTAGGTATTCTACAGACCAAAATCGAAAGTCATTCGTTTACTTCCATATGTAACAATACTGGACTTATTAGCAGCTTGGAGCGTAACTGCTGGGTCAGGATGTTGACTTCCTGCGAATACGGAGGGAGAACAATCACCTCTGCTCCTGTGTCAACTAAGAATGTAGTACCGGTATTTCTATCTGTTACATAAAACAAACGACTGTTAGATCGTAGATTGCCGACAGTAGAAGTTTTCATACATGACGATATATGTTTTGGTTCAACCTGAAAGTTGCAAGGTGAACGGCACCGTCGTGCATTGCTTCCATAACTACGGTGATAGCAGCAAATATTATCGCGATGTCGTGATGTGCTAGGGGACCGAGAAAGACGTCGACGAGACGAGCTTCTAGAAAGGCTTGGTCGTGTGCGTGTGGTCAGTTTGCCTAACTGACTCAGTAAGGTGTCGACTTTATGTTCTAGAGTCTGTCTCGTGTCGTGAGTGTCTGGTATTCTGCTTGTGGAAGCGACAGATTGAGGTGTAGTCCTCGCGTACATGCGATCCGCAATTTCGGTGAGTCTTTCTATGTCAATGTCGTCGTCTCCCAAAGCAAGAACTTGCTGGATGTTTGCAGAAAGTCGTTGCAGCCAGATTTGGCAAAAGAGGTGTTTATCGATTCCTCTTCCTGCTACTAGGCTTTGCATATGCCTCATGAATTGCGATGGGGTTTTATCACCTAACTCAACATTGCTTGACAGGCGATCGAGTGCTTGCCTTTCCGAAAGCGAAGTGCATCGAAGTACCTCTTCCTTCAACTTGTCGTAAGGGGCTTCTGTGCTGGGTTGAACGATGTATTGCCGTACCTGCTCGGCGACTTCTTCTGGTAGTACTGTACTCAAAATGCCGAATTTAGCCGTCTGTGACGTGAGCTTACTGGTACTCAAATAATGCTCCACTCGTGCAAACCAAAGATGGGGGTCTCTGGGCTTAAAACCTGGATTATTAGGTGAATCGAATGAACACTGTGTGTGCATCATTGTACAGCTTGATAATAAATTCGCTGAAAAGAGGCTCTTCTCTGAACCACTTATTTTAACATATCTTTTTTTAATTTTTTTATTTCCTTCACGTTCCTCAATGGAACATAGGGCTTCAAGCTAGTGGCTTGAAGTTTCTGTAGCAGTGCTTATTTTACAGGATGGGGTTGCTAGCCTCATGCCCAACCTTTCCTCTTCACCACCGTTATTTCTGGCTTAGCGAGGTAAAGGAGTGCGTCGGCCGGGGATCGAACCCCGGACCATGTGCGTGGTTTTAACACATCTAACAAACACATATTAACGTTCAGGAGTTTTTCCTACCGTGTTCTCTCTCTCTTCAGGTCAATCTTTTCCTCTTATCTCGTTTCTTTCTGTTGTGTTTCTTATTTATTTCCTTACCTCTTTATTACTACAGTTTTAGTCAGAACGTTTTAGGTGTGTGTTCAATGAATGATTTGAAGTAGCTAACATGCTTTTCGAACTACTCACTTCAATCGGTCAGTAGTATTCATTGCACCATGCATTTGTAGTGTACATTGTACCTTTGAACTTTTGTTTGAATGAACGCAACCTGACATGTTTAACCCCACTTCCGCTTTGTACTCCTGTACGGTTACTGTCTCGCTCTCTCGCCTTACTTTCACCTAGTACACTACGAGCCGACAACCGTCTCACCTCCAGATAAGTGCGTACTTTTATTTCTTATCAAATTCCATATCTCTTTGTGTAAATACAATTCCGGTCCAGTTACACTTGCCATTTCGAGTCTTCTAACTTTGATTCCGTTCTTTAGTACTTGCACGTATCCAATATCGAATATCGTTTTTACGAGCTAGTATAAACCAATTTGATTTCTTTGCGCTCGCCTCTTGATTGTGAGGTAGAGGTTCCTGATCTTTGGTAAACGTCTGTGTATTGTGGTGGACCTTTTGCTCTGTTAGCTTATTAACCGAAATTCAAATAGAAAACAAAATACCAAATCAATTGAGTTTACGGGAAGAATATATTAGAGTTTTGTTACTTGGGTTTACAAAGATCCAAATTCCACAATAAACGTGATGGATTCCAGAAGTGCTGCGGGGAGACTGCTCCAGTTCTAATTCTCCAGAGTTGACGTGTTCGAATCACGTCGGGCTCACCAATTATTGTGGTGGACCTTTTGCTCTGTTAGCTTATTAACCCAAATTCAAATAGAAAACAAAATACCAAATCAATTGAGTTTACGGGAAGAATATATTAGAGTTTTGTTACTTGGGTTTACAAAGATCCAAATTCCACAATAAACGTAATGGATTCCAGAAGTGCTGCGGGGAGACTGCTCCAGTTCTAATTCTACGCACTTTGGTCGACCTCCGGCAACGTCAACTCTGGAGAATTAGAACTGGAGCAGTCTTCCCGCAGCACTTCTGGAATCCATTACGTTTATTGTGGAATTTGGATCTTTGTAAACCCAAGTAACAAAACTCTAATATATTCTTCCCGTAAACTCAATTGATTTGGTATTTTGTTTTCTATTTGAATTTGGGTTAATAAGCTAACAGAGCAAAAGGTCCACCACAATAATTGGTGAGCCCGACGTGATTCGAACACGTCAACTCTGGAGAATTAGAACTGGAGCAGTCTCCCCGCAGCACTTCTGGAATCCATCACGTTTATTGTGGAATTTGGATCTTTGTAAACCCAAGTAACAAAACTCTAATATATTCTTCCCGTAAACTCAATTGATTTGGTATTTTGTTTTCTATTTGAATTTCGGTTAATAAGCTAACAGAGCAAAAGGTCCACCACATGTGTAGCTCGTCCCGCCACTCGACTGTCGTAGCTTTGGTTGACTCCAACAGGAGTAGTGCTGGGATTAACTATATGGCGTCTGTAGTATGAAGTGTGTGAAGACTGTTACTACTGTGAATGGAGTTGATCCTTTCACCAGTTAGTCTTTCGGTATCGTCGTCAATGGAAGAGATAATAATAATAATAATAATAGATATAATTAGTAAAGGTATTCAGACTAACAGACAGAGAAAAAATAAGAAAACGTAACAACAGTCAGTCAACCGGTATACATATATATATATATATATATATATACCAGTAATAATGATAATAACGTAGGCAGAGTGACTAATTGAGGTCATAAACGGTGAACGAGTTTGTAAGAGCGGTTATTGTCAGGTAGAAGTAAACCCCAAGTCCATCTCTTACAAGTGGTGAGCCCGAGTTTTCACCGTTTGCCTACTTAGTAGCCTAAAGTGTAAATAGTCCTTTTTCATATTGGTAATTTGTTTTTCACTCGGAGTTATAAATTTTATTTGCCTTGTTTTTACTCATATTTTTTGTTATCATATTTGTTGTCATTTTATTAATATATCGTCCCGTGTGCAAAATGACTGACACCAGTCCCGCCTCAGAAATGGCTATTACCTTGCAACTCCCCACCTTCCGGACTCAGCATCCTGCCCGATGGTTCGAACACATCGAAGCTATGTTCGCACTTCGAAATATACACTCACAGGAGACTAAGGTGAACCTAGTTATAGTAAGTCTTCCTGAGCACGTCACGGAAGATGTATCTGATGTCATTACGGACCGATCCCCGGGCTTGTACGAGCGTCTCAAGCAGGCGCTTATTAAGCTCGTGGCACTTACCGAACAACAGAAAGCGCAGGAACTATTCCGAGATGTTCACCTAGGTGATAGAAAGCCCACCCAACTGTTACGTCAAATGAGGCAGTTGGTGGCCGACTTCAAAATAGACGATGCCTTCTTGAAACAGCTGTGGTTACAACGGTTACCCCAGACGATTCAGACTATTTTAGCCCCAATCAACCATTCCCCCTTATCTGAGCTAGCTGAGGCAGCCGATAGAGTAGTAGAGACTACTACATCAAACACGAATATCTCGGCTGCCGTTACCGCTAGTTCCACGCAGACTAGGACCTCCTCTGCCGTGGGGTCATCCAACGTTGATGTGGTGGCTCACCTCAATAAGCTGTACGAAGAGATAGGAAAGTTAAAACTCGATAGGAGATCTAGAGGTCGTTCACATAGCCGCACCAGCTCGACTCGTGGCAGATCTTCGTCACGAGCTGGCAGCAGACGTCGTTATTAACGAGCGGTATACGCTTGATATGTAAGGAGGTATTTGACGACAGCTTATCAAGATCTAACTCTGTAAGCTGACGTTGCGCCATTTGTTTCAAGTCAATGGTTGGAGGCGCCGACATGGTACATATCCGAGACAAGGCGTCTGCCACAGCATTGTCCACCCCCGAAATATGTCTAATATCCGAAGTGAATTGAGAGATATAATCCAAGTGACGCAATTCGCGTGGGGAATATCTATCTGTAGTAGTGTGGAGGGCATACGTCAGTGGCTTGTGATCGGTAAATACTGTGAATTTCCGTCCTTCGACAAAATAGCGAAAATGTTTGATAGCCGCGTATATGGCGAGGAGTTCTCTGCCAAAGGTGCTATACCTCGCTTCCGCGGCGGACAACTTCCGGGAGAAAAAGGCAACTGGTATCCATGAAGTATGTACCAGTTGCTGTAGAACAGCTCCAATGGCTGTGTTAGATGCGTCAACTGAGATGCTAAGTGGAAGATGGACGTCAAGGTGGACTAGCATGGTGGCGTCTGCAATTGCCGACTTTATATTCTGGAAGGCTTCTCGAGCCTCTGATGTCATGCTGAACGTTTTGTTCCTACCCTTTAGTAGGTCTGTGAGTGGCAGTAAAATATGTGCACATTGGGGGACGAACCGTCGATAATAGCTCACCATGCCGAGAAATGTGCGTAAAGATTTCATTGACGCAGGTTCCGGGAAGTCGCGTATTGCCTGTACCTTCTCAGGTAGCGGGCGAATTCCCTGCTCATTAATGACATGTCCCAGGAAGGTCAATGAATGGACGCCAACCTGACATTTGGACATGTTTAGTGTCAAACCATGGGCTGTTAGCCGCTCGAAAACCATCTGTAGATGCGTACGGTGGCTAGCTTCGTCTGGGCTAGCCACGAGAATATCGTCGAGGTAAGCATGTGCGCAATCTAATCCTCGCAAAACATCGTGAATAAACCGCTGGAATGTTTGTGCGGCGTTGCGGAGACCAAACGGCATTCGAAGAAATTCGAAAAGACCAAAAGGGGTGGTCACTGCCGTTTTAGGAATATCATCTGGGTGAACTGGAATCTGGTGATAGGCCCTGGTTAAGTCCAGTTTACTGAATACCGTGGCACCCTTGAGAGACGACGTAAGGTCATGAATGTGTGGTACGGGGTAACGATCAGGTACGGTCTGTGCGTTAAGCCTGCGGTAGTCACCACAAGGCCTCCAATCTATCCCGTTAGTCTTTGGTACCACGTGTAAAGGGGAAGACCACGGGCTGCTGAAAGGACGGATTATCCCCATATCTAACATATGTTCGAATTCAGCCTTCACGGCTTGTAGTTTTTCTGGGGACAATCGCCGTGGTTTAGCGAAGACCGGTGGACCAGTGGTCACGATATGATGAGTGACAGTAGACGTCACACTAGGAAGTTTAGAAACCGGTTTGAACAGATTGGCAAAGGACTGAAGAACTTCAGCGTAAGGGCCGTTAGAGGCAGGGGTTGAGTATACTGGGCTTAATGCAGGTGTGTGTGTCACAACACCGGAGATCGAAAGGCTTGTAGCTGAATCGATCAGTTTGTGTTTGCCAGTATCAACCAGTAGCTGATAGTGTTGCATGAGATCCATGCCAATAATACCAGTAGTTACATCTGCTACAAGGAAAACCCAGCGAAATGACCTACGTAGGCCTATGTTAAGGTCCAGGAACTTTTTGCCATACGTTGTGATTGGTGAACCGTTTGCGGCGCGAAGCTGTACGGAAAGTGGCCGCTTGCGCTCTTCAGATGTTGGTGGGATTACGCTAACTTCCGCCCCAGTGTCAACTAGGAAGCGTGTCCCAGTGGTACGGTCGGTAACATAGAAGAGGCGACATGGAAGTGGTTCGCCAGCGACGTTAGTCGCCAATACATGCTGGCTTACAGGTTTCCCGATTGCTGGCCATCAAAGGTGCACGGGCGAGTGCACTTTTGGGCCTTATCACCATAACGCCGGTGATACCAGCACACTCCAGGCTGGGAATTTTTAGGCCTACGACGTCTGCTGCCAGCTCGTGACGAAGATCTGCCACGAGTCGAGCTGGTGCGGCTATGTGAACGACCTCTAGATCTCCTATCGAGTTTTAACTTTCCTATCTCTTCGTACAGCTTATTGAGGTGAGCCACCACATCAACGTTGGATGACCCCACGGCAGAGGAGGTCCTAGTCTGCGTGGAACTAGCGGTAACGGCAGCCGAGATATTCGTGTTTGATGTAGTAGTCTCTACTACTCTATCGGCTGCCTCAGCTAGCTCAGATAAGGGGGAATGGTTGATTGGGGCTAAAATAGTCTGAATCGTCTGGGGTAACCGTTGTAACCACAGCTGTTTCAAGAAGGCATCATCTATTTTGAAGTCGGCCACCAACTGCCTCATTTGACGTAACAGTTGGGTGGGCTTTCTATCACCTAGGTGAACATCTCGGAATAGTTCCTGCGCTTTCTGTTGTTCGGTAAGTGCCACGCGCTTAATAAACGCCTGCACTCACACCCCAGCCAAGTCCGATGGTCGAAAATCCTACTAAACCTAGCAGTTCCTCGGATGAGACAAGTAAGGCACCGGTTACACGCTCTGGTCGGCGTGTACACTGGCCTAAACGATACTGTGAATTTCTTGACTAAACGTTTTTAATTACAAGAGTAACTCATACCTTTCATGTCTTTTCTCACGTTACATTCATTTTTTATGATATTTACTCTTTTGGGTTTCGTTTGTGGGCAGTAGCCACTTTTTCATTTACTAATCCTGTTAGATTTCTTTCTCGTTACAGTGTTCTAACATTTTATTTTTGGCGTCGCACTCGAACCGCTAACTAGACTAGTCCATTCCCATTGTCGTATGCTGACTCCCAACTCGTGGAATTACAAACCAATCGAACAAAAATATGGACCCGATAAAAAATAATAAAATGTAAAAACAAAAACTTTCACTGTATAGTTAAACGGACCGTTAAATATTTTTTGTATGTAAATACGTCACTTCTATGCTGTACATTTTAATCCGCGCAATCTATTTTCACAGATCTTACTATTTTTACTCGAGTTATACCATGACGAAGCTTATTTATTTTGTGATCCATACTTGTAATTACCTTGCATCACTTTAATTATACAGCTCGCTACATTTTTTTTAACAAATGGTGATTGTACTTATTCATAGCTATTGGTTGTACACACACTTCTCTGTACCTGACATAAGTTTTCACAGTGTTAGCAATTTCCCTTGTTTTATTTCAATTTGGCGTACCACTTCCATGTTACACTAGTTCCTTCGCATTTATTCCTCCTAAGTTCTTGTTAACACCTTATGCTGATTTTTAAATCTTAACCTCTTCTTCTATTCTTTTCTGTTGCTTTTACTTTATTCCTCCTAATACGCTGGTATATTGATTGCCTTTGGTGTTACTACTAGTTTTAGTTGATGAAGAAGGATGGAGCATTAGTCTAAGAGGAAACTTAGACATAATGAGCCACCTTCCCGTTATAACAACGTGGGTAACGGAGGTAAACCATCACACCTCCACATAACCCGGCTCGTAATAGTATGTCGTAAAAAAAAACTCAATAAATAAATAAAATAAAAATAAAAAATGAAAAAAAGATAAGTAAAAATAAATGATATTAAAAAAAAAACAGACGACTAAGAAGCTTGAAATTGCACCAAGGCACCAGCGTTATTCCTTCTTATATTCCATCTTACTCCATTGATCATGTACATAGCGCTCATAAATTGCCTTAATTTTTTTTCCTTCATTCTTTCCTTTCTCAACACATTTTTTTTAAAAGAAAAAGAGAAACAACTATTTTATTACTATCTTCACATTTTCTTGTCCATTCACTGTTATTGTACGCCACCTTGTTACTTTTATATATCGAAGCTTGCTGTTATCCCACCAACCTTCTAAGGGGGGGATAACCTGTAGTGTACATTGTACCTTTGAACTTTTGTTTGAATGAACGCAACCTGACATGTTTAACCCCACTTCCGCTTTGTACTCCTGTACGGTTACTGTCTCGCTCTCTCGCCTTACTTTCACCTAGTACACTACGAGCCGACAACCGTCTCACCTCCAGATAAGTGTGTACTTTTTATTTCTTATCAAATTCCATATCTCTTTGTGTAAATACAATTCCGGTCCAGTTACACTTGCCATTTCGAGTCTTCTAACTTTGATTCCGTTCTTTAGTACTTGCACGTAGGCAGAGTACTAATTGAGGTCATAAACGGTGAACGAGTTTGTAAGAGCGGTTATTGTCAGGTAGAAGTAAACCCCAAGTCCAACTCTTACACATTCATGCTTGCTCTCTTCATTGCCATTTATTGCATAGTGAATACCACATATAATAATCTGAATAACTTTGATTTCTCAAGAAAACTATTGTTACCCTTAATTTTTTATAAGAACAAATTAGTTCAGCGAAGAGTCTCTTTTCGGCGAATTCATTCACTTAGCTGTACAGTCGCAAATATACACAATTAATTTTGGGTGTGTGTGTGTACATTAGGTTTGTCGAGATCAAATCAAAATAACAGTTAGTGTGGGTTGTTGATTACATCATCAAAATAATTAAGAAATTACAATGTGTGATTAATAATCAAAGTTGTAACTAAGTGGGGTGAAGATTGGTAAGATGTGAGTAGGGTAACGTAATATAGACATGTTTAGAAAGATTAGATGTTAGTGAAGTAGTATGGAGACAATTATGAAAATAAACTAGATAATAGGTGAAAAGATTGAATGGGTTAGTTACTAAAAATTATTATACGAAAATTGCAAAAAAATATTTGATAACAAAAAATTTGATAACCAAATGTTGATGACAGATTAACTTGAAATTAAACCCACGATAGTAGGAGGGGATGGAGAAGTTTCTTCTGTGTGCATAAATCAGGCTTTTCTATCCAAATCGCTAAGGCTTCGGCAATACAAAGTATACGGAAGCTTGTCGATTTTGGAAGGCTTCTTTTGACTTTATAGATGACTTTGAACGACTTCTCCTTGCAAATCGAATGACTAGTGTTGAGTATATGCTCAATAATGGCGCTCCTTATTGCTCCGTTGTTACCTTTCCGTAGCCAGGCGGGATAGTGTTCTTGAACTCTTTTAGATAAAACTCGCATCGAACGACCTATATACCTCCCTCCGCAAGAGCAGGTGAATTGGTAGATACACACAGAAGTGGTCAGATGCGATCGTTTATCTTTAGGGTAGTTGAAGAACAATGGCCGGGAGGAAAATGTCAGTCGTAGTGTGGCAGCGAAGAATGTCCTTCTGAGAGCAGTAGATATCCTCTTCTTCAAGGTGTCAGCCAGAAAGTCACCTTTGAAGGGTACATTCATGTAGGCCATCTTCTTCTGCACTGTAATGGGTTGTTCTGTGGTGAGAGCTGTCTACTAGCCAAATTGGTAGATAGCAATATACATCAATGTTTACATTCTCAAGATTTGTTGTGAGAAAATATGAACAAAGCTGATTCAAAACCGACCACAGCAGACTTTGCGTAGGCGGATACAGTTAACATGTAGATGATCTGACAGTCAAGAAACAGTCACAAAGAGATGAAAGAATAACTTTAAGTGAGAAACAACCAATCAGAAGAATGTGTTTGTTTGCTTAACTAAACTATAATAATGTACATGAAAATATATAAATATGCTTTGATTTCCTTAATAAATGATCTGTTGCCTGGCCCTTGTCTTTTGTTGTTACAGTTCTTTATGAGTCTTAGGCTTAACATGCTTGTCTATAAAACGAGGTGGGTAACCATTCTCGAGCAGTGTCTTCCTTAAGAGGGCGATCTCTTCCTCTATTGATTCAGGACTGCAGATTTTTCGGATTCTAGTCACCAGAGATATTATCAGGTTTCGCTTGCGACTAATTGGTACCCAACTGTAGAAGTTTGTCAACTGACCGTTCCACGTAGGTTTTCTGTGTACTGATCTGTTCAAGGTACCAACGGTCTTCTTACTTAAACGAATGTCCAGAAAAGAGATTGTCTCTTTGGTTTCTACTTCGATTGTAAATTTGATGGCGGGGTGGTAACTATTGAAAACTTGAAGAACAATATTTTGATCACATTTGTTATCGCAGATGACGAAAGTATCATCAATATACCTTTTGTATAAGAAGAATTTGTCGATGGTTGCTTTCAGCGGACCGTTTTCCAAACTTGCCATGAAAATATCAGCCAGCACCGGACCAAAAGGTGATCATTTGTGATTTTATACTAAGCCTACCAATTCTGTAACATAATATTAATAATAATTTACTTTATTCCAAAATCAGTACTTATAATACAGAATGGAATTCTTATTACAATTTAGCCTCTTTATTTTATCATTAGACATTATCGGTCAGCCCTCACATTCAGTGTCCCCTTTGTTAATGTGTGTTTGTAAGTATTTTGTGGTTATCTCATTTCTCTCACCCTAATGACACTTGTATTCTGTTGACTATAAAACAGCACTATATCACCCAATTGTTCATTCACACTTCATCACATTTTTCTGACTATATACCCTATACACATTTGATTGACTATGTTAACTAATGAACTATCATCTCAGCTTACACATGCACCCCAATACAGTTTCTGATATTATTTTCATTTGCCTTTATTGGCTACATGTACTCTATTATTCATGGATTTATAACTGTAGAGCCTGAAGAAGAAGTTATCGAAAACAATTGTTCGCTCAAAATCTTGTTTTGATTTCAATATGGGGATTTTTCATTTACTGAAAACTATGATAAAATTCAACCTCGAACTGTGTATGTTGCAGACTGTGAGTTTGAAACAACCTAAAACAGCGAACCTTGGGCATCATGGTAGAGTATTGTTCCATCAGCGGATAAGTGTATTTGATAACGACACTTATTGGTGCAATATTATTGATTCACCTTTTTCTGGGCAAAGATTTATTCAAGTATTGGTTTGTAGGGATTTGGTTGATTGGTTACAGGATTTCATTATGAGATGACATTTGGTTAGAGAACCATTGGAAAACCACCTGGGAATACTGGACAGCTGTTTCGTCCTAGTTTGGGACACTTCAGCGTTACACACCCACCACCAGGGTTCGAATTCAGGACCATCTGGTTACAAGGCGACCTCGTATATCATTCAGGCAGTGAGATCCGATCCAATGGCCATACCATGAATTCTAACTTCTGCCAATTCACGATATAGCGCAACCGCTAGCCAATGTCTTCAGTGAGTATTTGT